GAATGACCAGGATGGCAGGGAAATTGCTTTCCCAAGGGAAAGGGGTGAGGGGTCCCCTTGCAGGACCCCGAGCCTTTGTGCCTCTCTGTTTGGCTGCCCCCAGGGAACTCAAAATGAGGAAAAAAGCATGTTTACCTACAAACGATGTAGTGCAGACACCATGCAAACTCCACGGCTGCTCCTGTTGCAGCCTTGAGGCCAGAGCAAACCAGTCGAAGAATGTGCTGGGGGAGAACAGAGTCCAGAACCAAGCTGGGGTCAGAACGGCAGAGTTAATGGAGGCACAGGCCAGAGCACAAGCACAACAGAAAACTGACAGGGAGATACTAGCCCTGGCTACCGAGCAGGGAGCTGCTCTCCCCTGTACTGGGGGCCACATGCTGCAAAAACACACCTGGAAGAGACTCTTACCTAAGGGCTGCAGCCTCAGGGACCACTAAGGCCCAGCACAAGCTCTCTCTGTCCATGGCAGGGCCTGGGGGCACTCGGGACACCTTGGTTGGGGTCACATTTTTGGCACTGGGGGCTGTCAAGTTGATCTTTTCCTTTGCAGGAGGAATACAGACAGAATTTCCCTGCGAGCCTACCCTGCTCAACACTGTCCTTTACCAAAATACCAGAGCTGTCTGCTCAGATGAGACAGAGGGAAAAGAGTCAAGCCTTGCGCCCTGGTCTGCAATAAAAGCTCCGTAGTTCTGGCAGGATTCTGCTCTGAACTATTAATATCACTGGGATGGGAAAGTCGTAACTGTCCCTGCACACAAATACCACGCCAGGCCCCAGGGCCCATCCTGATTCAGGGTTAAGAGGCTCGGACTCACGGTATGATTTCTGTGGGGGCTTCCTTGGCTTGGAGGAGCTGTGAGAGGACGTAGCCCAGACCTTCCAGCACAGCCTCGTGCGGGGACTGCAATCAAACAGAACAAAGCTAATCCCACATGACAGAGCCAGGGGGATCCCAGGGTGGCAGCTGCCATGCTGGTTGAGGACGATACCCCTTCGTAATGCCAAACCAAGCAGCTGAGCAGTGCAGTCTCTCCCTGTCTGGGGAAGAGTGGGCACAGCAGGGGACCAGGAGTGAAAGAAAGCTGTGGCCACACCAAAGCTGAGCTGTCCCCCATCCCCAGACTCACATGGGCTGCAGCTGTAGGGATTCAGGAGCCCAAACGCAGCTGCAGAGCTGCTCTGGGCATTCAGATCTGCACAACAGCCCCACTCACTCTGTTGGCCTCATTTGCCTGCTGTTTCTGAGCCGTACATAGGGGAGAAGCCTGCAGCTCCCTGTGTTACAGACTGTTTATCAGCAAGCCACAGTTATGGATGTGAGAGATTCAGCTGGAGAAAAGCACAAGATAGTGAGCTGAGCCCCAAAAATAGAGTGCAGGAGAGACCCTCCCCTGCAAAGGAACAGCCCTCTGCAGAGGGGTCCCTGCCCATGGCCACAGCTGGAAGGAGGGCTGGTTACTCAGTACCAGCATCTGAAGGGTGTAAGAACAGTTGTCCATCTGGGGCAGGGCAGGGGGAGAGCATGGCTGAGCTATTTCACCCACCTGGATGCAGGATGCCAGCACTGGAATGATGCCCTGAGGCAGAAGCTGCTTCCTCACAGCTTCACTTTCCACTACCAGATTCCCCAGCGTGTACAAACACAGCTCCTGAAACACACCCGAAAGAGCAGGTCACTTCCTCTGCCCTCCCCAGCAGGACCCTGGGCAGCCAGCAAGGCCTCTAGGTCCCTGCACCCCAGGACTAGGGCACACACTTCTGAGCAGGGCAGAAGCTGTCTTCAGAGGGGTAAACATAGATCACAGAAATCACAGAATTGTAGTGGTTGGAAAAGATCTTTAAGATCAGCAAGTCCAACCATAAGCCCAACACTGCCAATTCCACCTCTAAACCATGTCCCTGAGCACCTCGTCCACCCGTCTGTTAAATACCACCAGGGAAGGTGACTCCATCACCTCCCTGGACAGCCTGTTCCAGTGCTTGACTACCTTTTCGGTGAAGAGTTTTTCCTCATATCCAATCTAAACTGCCCCGGTGCAACTTGAGGCCATTTCCTCTCCTTCTATTGCTGGTTACCTGGGACAAGAGACCAACCTCCACCTCTCTATACCCTCCTTTCAGGTAGCTGTAGAGACCGAGGTCTCCCCTCAGCCTCCTTTTCTCCAGAGGAAACAACCCCAGCTCCCTCAGCCGCTCCTCATAGGACTTTTTCTCCAAGCCCCTCACCAGCTTTGTTGCCCTTCTCTGGACACGCTGCAGCACCTCAACATCTTTCCTGTAGTGAGGGGCCCAAAACTGAACGCAGATGGATACTGCTGTACTCTCCAGCTACCCCATTCCCAGCTGGATCAGCTTCAATTTATCCTTTTTCTATCTGGCACAGGTTGGGATCTGATCACTTCTCCATTGGAGGTTTTTCAGGCTTCTAATTATTGCTATGACATTTCCCTGAGATCCCTCTAATTCCACAGTATTCTCCTGGATGCTGCCCATGTGCTGTATTAAAATGTGATCACTGCTTTGGGGTGGCTCCCCACCTTGTCCCTTAGCTCCGGTCCTGTCTGCTTCTCAAAGGAGCACTGCACAAAGTGCACTGCTCAGCACCTGGAGAAACAACTGAGTGTCCCAGAGCTACTCCATCTGTTTGCTTCTTCGCTCGGATCAACCTGCACAGGTGCTCTGCTCTTCCTCCTGACCTGGATGAAAGCCTGCCTGCTTGTGGTCTGAAGGTAAGCTGACAAAGGAGCCCTCCCTGCATTCCAGCCTGCAGCTGCTTGCTTCTTTCACTTTTCCAAGATCTTTTAAAACACCTAAACTGACCTGCATCTAGTATTTCTGCTTTACCCACCACACAGACACCAAGGTACCGCCTGTCCAGGCCCAGGCTGTGTCAAGAGGCCAGACCACATATCTGATGATGAAGTCCAACTGCCACAGCCTGCACTCTCCGCTTGCCCAAACAGAGCTTGGGGCTGAAGAGGAGGACCCATTGCAAATGGGGCAAACCACTGTGTCCTGGACTGTGGCAGGAGGATTTGCCTGGCCTAGATGAGGCTTGGCAACATTTAAGAGCAGCCTGTAGCTACCTGGAAGGAGGTGCAAACGTGATGGAACCAAACTTCCCTTGGTGTTGGGACGGGGCACAGTGAAGGGGGTCTCCATATTTACAAGAATTGGCCAGTCAAAGCCATGCTACCCTAGGCATGGGGGTACACTGGGGACAGTCCTGCTCCAAAGGGGAGTTTGGACTAGAGACTTCCAGAAGGCCCCTTCCCTGCAGCACTCCTGTGTGAGCCATGTTAGGCTAAGGCTGGCCAAATAAGATAACACCCAACTGCTACCAAAGGATTATCAGGTGCCAGAGCCCTGGCAAACACAAGCACGGGTCTTACCGTGAACTCAACACTGTGTCCCGAGAGGTAGGTGAGGAGATAGGAGGTCACTGGCAGACAGGCCTCAGCCACAGCAGGGTCACTGGAGTGGGACAGCTCGTGGAGACAGCGGGCTGCCTCCATCTGTATGTCAGCCAGGCTGCTGGTGAAGAGCCCAACGAGCGTCCGGATGCTGCCATCCAGCCTAGTGGAACCCAAAGGGAACTGTCACCTCCTGCCTTCCCACCCTCGGCCACACACCAGCTCACCCACACAACAACTGGGACAAAGGGACATGCCCTTGATAACAGCGATGCAGTGCCAAAGCTGGGCTGACCTGACAAACTTCTGCTGAGTCTCCTTGTTCTGCAGAGCCCGGCGAAGGCGGCTGAGTGATATTTTCCTGTCCTCTGAACCCCTCTGCACACCTCTGAGCAGCTCAAGAACCTAACAGAAAATTAAAACACGGGAGAATTTCAAGCAGTGCCAGGGTTGAGATCTCACCTCATAAATCCTGGAGGCAAAGAAACCGAGAGCACAAAGGTGGTCACAAAGAACCTTACTGCTTCTCAGTTCCAAACCCGCCTCCACCCAGGCTCCTCTGCAGCCTAGAGGCTGGGGAAGACCCCAGGGACCCCCATAACCACGGAGAACGTCATGCTCTTCACCTCATCCTCGGAGAGAGGATCCAGCACGATCTCTGCTCCATCCTGTCCACCCTCCTCTGCTGTGGTGTCCTCCCGCAGAAGCCGCTTGCTGACCAGCTGCTCCTGCCGCCGGGCTTTCCTGAGAGCTGTGATCGAATCAGTTCTCCTCACCACCTGCCTAAGTCAAGACGCTTTTCCATCCCACCAAATTCCTTTTAACAGGGAGAAACAGTTCCTCCTCATGTGAGTCAGGGAGGGCAGCACGAGGCAGTGGCTGTATTTAGATCTCACACACCTCTGGGCTGCGGGGTTGGGAATCCATCAATGGGCGAA